GTCTGAGTGTCTCTGCCTCTTGTGTGGCTCGAACAAGGCAAGTGCCGTTAGCCTCCGTGGCTTCTGAATGGGCTGGAGAGACAACAAATCCCGCAGCGGTGCATCAGCCCAGGGACGCAACACACAGCTCTTTCACACACCTTCTCTGCAGAGACCCCCCCCAAGCCCTCACTACAACCATCCGCCTTGCGTATTGCGGCCTTGGAAGGGGTGGGGGCGGGGGGAGAAAGAGAGATCCTTTCTTAGAAATGATCTTTGCAGTCACATGGAAGGCGAGTCCCTTCGTTTTCATTCTCCCTTTAGATCCTTTTTTGACTCGCTACTGGCAAGACAGCCCCAGCCCTGTCTTCCTCTGCCTTAAAGGGAAATGGCCTTTTTTTTTTAATACATAGGAAAAAATGCCGTTTCAAATATAGTTACAAGGGGCGAGAGCTCCTTTAGAGTCCTTTTTCTTATACTTAAAAATGGTGTGATTGTCTCCACCTGGCATGCCTATGAAAAAAGGGATCTGGGCCATTATTTTATACAAGCAAGGGATTTTTTTTTAATGCCACCCATGTTGTGGATCCGTATTTTCAACAGGGAATGTGGTAGTTTCACTGCTGCCCTGGTCATTCAGGATGGGCCGAGATGCTTCTTAAATTGCACTTTAAAAACATGCTGTGAAACTCTCTCTGCATTTGATTTAAGGGGTTTTCTTTCCCCCTCGGTTATTTTTAAGTAGACTTCCTCCGAGTCCCATTTCTGCTCCGGCGTTCGAGCTTCGATCAATTTCAAGTGCAAACCACACACACGTTTAGCACTGCGCATTGTACAATGGGGCGATTATTTTGTGCACTCTCCCTGCGAGCGGCTCGCTGCATGCCATTTGAACTCTCCGAGCCAGTCTCAGCAGCCGCTAGCAACTGAGTGGCGAAATCACTTGTTTCCGAGAATACTTGCGGGTTTCGTGTCGTGCATTTGCAAGGAGAACTTGAATTTTTCGGTGAACGCGTGGCTATATCATTCGCATCTCCTGTTGTGTCCTTAAAAAAAAAAAAAACTAGGAGGGGAAGGAACAAAATGCAAAGGGCTTCGGGAATCAATTTAAGCAGCATCAGCTGGCTAGGGGGCCAGAAATGGGCCGGGGTTAGAAGACTCGAAGTCCAAGGGCAATTATCAAGCTTGCAAATGTTGCTTTAAAAGAAGAGGAAAATTTGGAGATGAGCTGGTCATTTCCCACCCCCTTAAATATCCTGATTCTGATCCACGCTGGCCCTTAAAGAAATCTTTATCCAGCAGCTTAGTGTGACTGCAGTTCAACTACGTTGTCAGCCCTTTTCCTATCTCTATATTCAATAAAAACAATCCATCACCCCTGCGGGATGCAATAATAAGTCTCATATTTCTCCCCAAGAGTTAAAGGCTCCAGAGTTGATTCCCAAGCAGCTGAAGGTGAGTCGCTCCCAGAGGGTGTGTTGGGCTAGGAGGCGGCTTGTCTGTATGCTCAGCCCTCTCCATACACTGTTATTAAATGTCAACTTTGACTCACGTCTTTTTTATCTCCCTTCTCTCCCGTGTGTGCCTGCAGTGGGAGATTCAGCGAAGGAAGCTCGTAACATGGCGGATACCGAGGAAGGCTTTGGGCTTCCAAACACGCCAGTGGATTCGGAGTCGAAAGAGCTTCAGTCTGAAACCAAGCAAGACAGTCAACTCGGGGCCAGCAGCAAGTCGCCTTCCTCTCCCCAAGCAGCTTTTACACAGCAGGTAAAAGAAGGAGAGAAATATCCGCTTTCTCTTATTGCCTTTCTGGATTGCGCTGTGCCATATAGACGAGTAATTCTAGTTGCTAGGCTCTAATAATGGGACTGATGATCACGGTCTAATTATACAAGCTGTAACTCCTCTAATAATAATAATCAACACCGATATTCACCCAGAGACATACAGATAAGTACATACATTTATGGATACAAATACACACATTTCTGTCTGCAGATACACACTCTTACATATGTGCACACATCTATTGACATACACACATTTATAGATATACCTAATACATACACTTACATGTACACAAGTACCCACACATTCACCCAGATATGTGCACATATACATAAGTGCAAAACACGTATGTATATACAGACATGCACGCAAGTAAACACACATAGATCTGTAGACATTATGTACGCTTATATGTATAGGCACACGTCTGGATATAAACGCACACATGTGCATAAAAATACATGTACATAACTACACACAGGGGTGTATGCAAGTACTTATGCACACCACTATGGGGGTGTGTGTGTGTGTATAGACATTCAGATACCTATATCTGTATATATCTATAATTTGCATGCACATGTGTGTGCGTTTGCATAGAGGTGGTTGTATACCTAAGTGCTTGCATACATTCCTGTGTGTAGCTCTATGGATGATCACGTATACATATATACACACTCACGCCCATCGATTTGCAGGCACACGAATTCGTATGTGTTGAAACACACACGCACACACGAAGCCCTCGCGTGCACACGCGGTCACACACAGGTATAGGAACATAACCCCATCCCTGCAGCGACCGCCTTGCCCTGTCTCCTGATCCCTGCTCCCAACCTGGGCGCGCTGTGCTGGGAGAGGGCGGCTGTGCCTCTCTCTGCGGCTCTCCGGAGCAGGGAGCTGCCTGCGGCTCGCTCCCATTTGCACCTAACCCGGGAAGAGAAAAGTAGGCCAGGGCGCTAGGATACACTCCGCATATTGTTTTGTCCTTTTAAACTATTACTTCCACTCAGGCTCGGGTCGTGCGGCGTATCACTCGCCACTGCTCTTCTGAAATAGGGAAGGGACTGAAATACCCTCCCGCTATTCGCTTCTAAGGGCGATCTTGAGCGAGTATCGGCTTTTCCCTGCCCAGATCGGCGAGGCTGCTTACAGCATCAGACCTGAAGCAGCCCTCCCCTCGAAC